TAATGTGCACTCTCCCTAACAAATAGACCAATACAAAATGTGACTAGATTAGGTTTGGTAGAGACTGTACCGTCTTATCCGTGTGAATACTCGGCTCAGAAAACTCATTCTGTGCTGCAACTGTGGGGCAAAATGTGGTTTAAGGTTCAAAGAAGTTTCTTTCTTCTTCTTTTTTTTTTAGGCAACACATAGAAGAGTCGACTGTCCCCGGAGAGGGTTTCAATTGCTATGATCCACAGGATGACAATTATGTTGTTGGTAAGAATAAACACTCTACAAACAAAATGTACTGTTCTCTACAGCTGCCTGGTTAAAGGGGCAAAGATGGGTCTTTCTTCTTCTTCTTTTTTTGGCAACACCATAGAAAAGTTGACTGTCCTTCGAGAGGGTTTCAATTTGATGGCTCCACATATGGATGACATCATGTATATGTGCCGCGAAACATCGGCCCGCGCTGACATCAAGGTGGCAGTGAAAAACTCCACCAAAGCAGCGAAGTGCGCAGGAGGAGGTGCTTTAGTAGGCGGGCTGCTCAGTGGACCTCCAGGGATGCTTTTTGGTAAGTATAAATAAATACTCTACAAACAAAATGTACCGTTCTCTACAGCTGCCTGATTAAAGGTCCAAATGTAGCCAACACTGACAGAGGGTTGCTTTGAGATTGTTTGGTCCGACACCCATTGTGTCTCTACCAGGCGGAGTAGTGGGAGTTTTCTGGGGCTGGCTGACCAGCGATAAGTTCCGGGCTCTGCCTCAGATCCTGATGGAGTTGTCTCCCGACCAGCGACAGAAGCTCTATGGTGAAGTCGCGGCCATCCTGAAAAACCTGGTCTAACGAACAAGGACCAGCTTGTCGCCCTGGTGACGGGCAACGCCACGCTGCTGCAGCGGGTCACCACCGCGGTGCTCAACTTCGTCATCAGGGAGCTCTGTTTGGAGGTGCGCCAAAGGGACTGAGTTCTGAAAAAAAACAGCCTCGTGGATGTTTCACTTTGATGTCTGTGCCAGATGGAGCAGTTAGCCTCTGCTGTCTTCAAAGTGTTGTTAGAAGATTGTAGAAAAGTATGAAAGCATAAAAGTATACCAGCTATAACTGTTGTATTGACTGGGAAAGGACTGTATAATTTTACTGGTTCATTAAAAGTTGTGGCCACCAGGGGGCATCGATCAGAATGCACTCCAGACAAGATGTTCCTTTGAGAGGTTTATTGACAATAGTCAAACAAGCAATTGTGTGTGGTTCTGAAACAGACATACAAGAAACTAATCTATTTACAGACACGGCCGTCATTTCGCTCCGCCACTCTCGTTCAAGCCTTTTCACTAACTCAATGCCGTTAATATTAGTCCGCGAGCAGCTGACTGCCGTCCTCTTCCGCAAGGGGCGTAGTGCGGTTCCTGCTCGGCTGCTTCTCCGAAACCCGTCTGAGGTCGTCCTTCGTCACAATAACATATAACCTGTTTGATTCAATGATATAAGTGATTAAACATATAACCTGCGTGAAAAGCTTTATGTAAGATAGTCACTCAAGCATTATATAATAATAATAATAATAACAATAATAAAAGGTGAAAACATTCTGTTGTTGACTTAGAAACAGGATGACTCATGTGTGAGTGATGCATGAAACCAAGGGTGTTACCGGTCTCAGACAAGCATATAAGCAGCAGCATAACTAGAATAAGGGGTCTCCAGCTTTAGAGTCTGGAAGACTTGCTGTGCAATGAGAAAATAAGATGGGCAAAATAATTAGAATACATGTAGTGTATTTGTGAAAACTTATTAAATCATAAAATAGCTATAACTTTGTGATTCCGTTTACGCCAGCAGAGAAGGCTTAGCTGGCCCTGACAGCCCACCACTGTTTTTAATATACCTGTTTACGATTTTCAAATAAAATAAACCTTTAAAAATGCAAATCAATCAAAGCACAATACCTTCAAAGTTCTCTGGATTGTAAGGGCACATTTTGAAAAATACACACATATCTGTAAGCTATCCAGCCCATATTAACAATAATGAATTTATACCCGGCCCCGCCCATGAACTAAACTTCCCTTTCTGTGAAAAATGTTATTGAAGGTTGTGGCCAACCAGCTCCAGTCCAGGATTGTAAACAGCACTCTACCAATCATCTGACGGTTCCTAATGACATCCCGTCTTCTGATGTAGGCGATTGTTCTGTGTTAGTACTTCGTGACCTCAGCTCTGCGTTCAACACTGTAGACCGTCGTATTCTGATGAAGAGGCTGCTTGATTGGGTCGTCAGATCTGGCATGGCGTTAGACTGGTTTTCATCTTATCTCACCGACTGTAGTTTTACCGTCTCTGTGAGAGACTGTGTTTGATACCGCTCCACTGTCTTGTGGTGTCTTCCAGGACAGTGGCTCATTTTATTTAAACAAGTACATTTTAGTTTATTCTATGGAAGCTCATTACTGCATTTATTGCATATAAAAGATAAATGTTTTGCCTTATAAAAAATACTCACTGTGAGCCAATGTCAAAATTATGATGGTAGCTCATAATTTATCTTTCCTAAATTAAAGTTCAAAGGAATTCAAAGTAGATTTGTTTTATAATCACATTATGTATTGCACTGGTTGTCACCCATTTGCCATGGTTGTCAGTGGAAAAAAAATAAACTCAAGTATTATTTTAACGATTCTCCTGTTGGTGTTCAATAACTAGAACTGCTGCTACATTGAGTCTTTTACATCAACAACGTCAAATTGTGAGATAACTAGAGGAGCTGCATGAAGTTGAGCTCTTAGCGCCGAATAAAACTGAAGTGGCGATGTCTTTCTACAGCTTTACAGTGAGACAGATGAAAGAGGTCACCTGTGCAAACATGTGGGATGGAGGCCGATGTAGAGGTGGGACATGGAAACCAGTCCAGTATTATTATTACCTAGATACTAATCTCTCTGAGCGATGTCATTCTGAAATGAAGATCGTGAGGGTAGGACCAACATGTTGACAGTTTACTCTTTCTCAGACGAGGGACGCGCTTCATGACCCAAGTGAGAATTGAATGACACTAAACTTTGCTGCTGGGAAAACATTTCTAAAATATAAATGCGTCTGCAATCACGACAAAAAAGTATATATATATCTCAAGATTGTGTATAAGTTAATAAGTTGTGACAAAAAATGTCCCCACTTCACTTTCCCTTTGGTGTTGGAGCGTTTCTAAAGCACAGGTGACACACGGCAGGAATGGAAACTGGTGCAGCCATCTTTGAATCTTCTAAAGTAAAACAGCACTCTTTACACTAGACGGAGTGCTTTGTAGTACTCACGGTAAGCCGTCCAGCAGAAAGGCTTATGGTAGAGATCCAGGTGGTTAACTGTACACAGGACAATGATGGATTTTGTGAGTTGAGTTATAGTGAACATATTAATTGTCTAATGATACAAATTAATCAAGTTTTAATTTGTTTGGATGTTGAAATGACATTACATTTAAATAACAAGATATCCAGCCATCTGGCACAGAGACCGAAACACTTGTTAGAAGGCACAAAAAACATCAGCATTGTGACAATTTGTAAAGTTAAAATAGTACAGTAACTGATAGTAAGCACCGAGTGTGTGCTGGATGTAGTACCATCTTAATGTCATGGTTTAGGGCCCAAATATCCACAGTATAGTTTAGCATCATCTTGAACACCGCTCTGTGTTAGGAGTCCAGCTTTTAAGTGGAGGTGAACAATAAAAAAATATATATATATATTATATATATCTTTTTTTACCCCAACTAGGTTGATGGCAGAAGCCGGGAGGGCTGGTGAGTGGTTAAGATTGGACTAAAAAGCCATCTGTGGCTTGTATTTTAATGGACCCAGGTATAAAGCTGCGCACCAAACCAGAACAGGAGTTTACCGGATAAAACAGATGAAAACAAGACCCAGGTTATAAAACACAATTGCTTTTACACCTCTACATTTTTTTTGGGCCACCAGTGAGCCACGGAAACCAGCTGTAAACACAACACTGACCTATCACCTTGTAGAAATGTGTTAGCCAACAGTAGCTTAGCTACAGCTAATTCTGAGCAACGTTAGCATTTTAACTGGAGTCGTGTTTCCAGCAACCGAGCAACAGCTCGGACATTAAACCGTTTTCATGGTACTGTATCCACAACAGGCCAGAAAGTACATCAGTGCTGAGTATCAAGTGGTTTACAGCTGCACTTTGTTGAAGAGATAAATACTTAAAGAGATATGAAGTTTCAACCCTTGAAATGCATAAAAATGCACTGTTGCATTGTGCAACACAGCGTGACACTGGGATAGTTGGTCTTCTTGAACACTCCTTGGCCTGACAAAAGTAAGCAGATCATCTCAAAACTTCCAAAAGGACCGAGTCCACTGATCTTTAATAAAGGAACATAAAAGACATGAACTGGATATGGGCCCATAGCCATTGTCAAAACATGCCAACAACACAGTAAAGCTTCTTTGGGTCCAGATTAAAGTACCCTTACTCGTATTCTGTCTCTTCTTACTAATTTTCTTCAAAATGTTTTGAACAAAAGCTCTTTAAAGAATAGTTTAACATTTTGGTACATACCCCTATTCACTTTTCTTGCTGATAGTTAGATAAGAGGATCAATATCGCCCTCATCTAGTGAATATGAAGCTAAAGCCATGAGTTGGTTAGCTTAGCATTAAGCTAAGCATTAAGCTAGTGTAGCACAAGCCAATCAAAAAATGTCACAAACCTGTCTATGTCTTGTTTGTTTAATACGTACAAAAAAAAAAGCAGCGTAAAAGTGACAAGTTGGCGTTTTACTGGGTTTATGACTACTTCTAATCGTCGGGCACAAAGACTTTCTGGAGTCTTGCTGTGGAACATAAACCCCCCCGCCCCCAGCGAAACAACTGCTTGTCGTTCACACACTGCTACCGAGGCGGCGGTAGGACAATCGTTTTTAAATCACCTCTGACCTGAGCCGGTCTTCATGTAAAGCATCAAACACGCAATCAAAGATTGTGATAAAAGTACATTTTATAAAACAGAAAATACACCATACGTTATTGAAATGTAGAACTTCTAACAGTTTGGCAGTGTTCTGTGAATAAATGCATTTAGGTGAAAGTATATATATATATATATATATATATGAAATATTACTCTTTACTATTTGAAGGTTCGTTCTGTTCACAGGCACTGTGTGGAGTTCAGTAGATATTGTGGACCCGTCTCCACAGCCTTGTGTCAGCACTGGAGAACGGTCTGGTGTCACCTCTCATCCTTCTGCTATTGGGAGAACAAACACACTCCGGCTTGTTTGCACTTCGTTACACCGATCACAGTCGTCTATGGCGGCACTGAGCGCAGGATGCAGCGACGTCGCCCTCACAAATAGAAAGCGCAGATAGCGGAGGAGAATGCTACGTGAAAATCAGACTACTATATTCTGGAAACAGAATCAGACATTCATATCCATGTGCTGCCTATTGTTCTGTATTGATTTTATTTCCCGTTTTATCGGAGTGCCTGAATTCAACGTGTAAACTTCGTGCACAGTGTAGCTCAAAAAAAATGCCACCATCAAAAATTGTAGCATCCAAAGAGATTTTCTTTTGCTAGAAAATACCACAATACCACAAAAAGCTTAGCTTTTTTCTCCTGAGATGACAGACGTGTAAAATTAGTGAAATATTTGAGAATTCTGACACTGAAGTAAAGATGACCTCGTCTAAATCTGTCAGTACAGAAGCCCCGAGAGGCAAGTGAGGAAAAAAAATAAATTATTCTGGTGATCGATTTCCCAAGTCTGATCTGAAATAGTTTTTAGTAATCATTTTTAATTTCGGCAGTCTTCACCAAACGCATTCATGTTTTCTTCCAGGTGAGTGTTAATGTCTCCATGCACTCTAAACATAAGGTACATTTACTGTGTGTTCGCAAGTTATGCAAAATAAAACTCACCTCGAGGAAAACAATGCTTTAAGTCCTATTTAGAACATGAGGAAGTGGTGCACTTCTGCTCCATGTGACCAAAACAGGAATTACAAAAACACACTTTTTTTTTTTTCTTTCACCTGTTGAATCAGGAATAATTAAGGAACTTGGGAAGATTATCTTGGCCAAAACTTTTTTTCAAGCACAGGAGAGAAAACAATTTAGATCAGACTTAGAAAATGGATCTCAGGAACTTTTTCCTCCCTAAATTAATTTTTCCCTCTCAGGACTACCGTAGGTCTACTTATGTGATCAAATTTTTTTTTTTAACTATCAAGTGCAAAATGGCCGAGAAGTCGAGGAAAGCTTCCCATTTCTGTGCATCATTTTTTTTTAAACACACAAAAGTGTCATAGGAAGGCAGCCGGAACAACGGATGTCATTGTTGAGATCACTGGTAAGTTTACAATGCTACTGAGATTTTCAACTAACTCAATCTCATTAATGCGTCCAAACCAACTCTTGGTTTGGATGAGAGAGGCAGCACCCGAGCAATAAAACACAATATTTCATGAACTGTTCAGAAGTGTGGAGCTGCAGAACACTGCAGAGAAGCATCCAGAGCCTTTCCCCCCTCGGCTAAGGTGCTCAGTGTGAGTACATGAAGGCAGGTTTAAAGCAGTGATATATTAGTAATGTGCGAAAAATACATTTCACTTCATTTACATGTGGAGTTAGTCAAATAAAAAAAAAATTTAAAAAAAGAATTTACACTGTACAATACATCAATTCTATATAAAGAGAGACTAGGAGAGTAAAAGGTGTAGAAATACTGGAGCTGTGTTGAGTCTAAAACTGGTCAGAGAGCAGATCACACAGTCGCTGAGACACAGACTCCCTGCTGGTCCGGAGGGTGAGACGGTACATCTGAACAGGAAAAACACACACACACACACACACACACACACACACACACACACACACAC